ATGGATATTATATAATAGCTGCTTTTTTGAACATTTTAGCAATTTAAAAATATTAAAAAATGATTTTTTACATGGCACCCCTGCTCTCGACAGACGGCACCCCAGGGTGCCGCGGCACCCCGGTTGGGAAACACTGCCTTATTGTGAATAATTCATGTTATGCATGCTATTCCACAGAAGAAATTTTTTTTTTGGTCTTTATATATATATATATCATTAAAATATAATCACTTGTTCCGCTTCTGGAACAACTTTCTTTTTCTATTTACTATAAATTCTCAATGGATGCAGTTTTTTTCTCTTTAAATATCCAGTTGAATCAAATGTTGACTTTAACTACCCCATGTAGTGGTTTAGAAACACTTTATTAAAACGCCACTAAACCATTTGCTGTTTGCTAATGCTAGTTGATAGCAGGTGGAAGTACATTGTTGTTGTATTCATTGCATACACTCATTCACGACCACAATTTTAGTGGCATTTTTGTTTTGAGTGCAATGATTGCTGGACTTTTTCTTGTTATGATGACATGTTAGTTGTGCTGATAATTGCACACACAAATGCTATTCTGGACCAAAAAATTTAGCTTTTGCATCAAACTATAGCAAAGAAATACGACGAGAGGTTGTCCTACATGGCAGAAATCCAAAAGTGCATTCTGACTGTTGCTCTCTAGGCCATCGAGGGGTTAAATGCCTTTTTAAAGATCATAAGAGCAATCGCAGAAGACGTTATCAGCTGATATGTTTCGGGTATCAAGCCTCCCTCTGACCCTCTTGGTTTTAACGGGTGAATGACTAGCGAGTGTTTCTGCATCCAGAAAGACAAGCCATATGACAGACTAAGAAACATTCAGCACTAAATTAGTGACATAAAATGTGTTTTTTTAACAGAATGAGCTATTTCGCGCAGCTGACGAAAGACGCGGGCACAATGAAAAGGCCGTTTCTAAGAAAAGAGACCACGCAGAGGTGCGGTAAATTACACCTAAGATGTGTCGTGATCATAATCCTCCGATAAACCTTTACGGAGGCCTATTCTGATTTCCAAATTCTTGGCTTTAGCCTGAGGTCTGATCTTAGAAATGATCTGCATGCTTCAGGAGCACAGGCTAATCTGATGAATGAAGGTATTGTAACTGCACTCATAGAGACTCTTATGGTAAAGCCGATTAGCATTTCCAGTGGTGTTCTAGCTCTACAAGTTTTTCTCCCAAGAACACAAAAATAAGAAATTGTCACATCCAGTAAAAAAAAATTAAGAACAACTTTTTTTATCTGCATATAAAACAAAGTTTTATCTGGATCTGGAAGTCGTCACAGCCATGAAAAAACAGGAAATATCAAGATATCCAGACAAGAAAAAGTCATGCAAATGAGTTTAAACTATTAAAAATATACATTTAATTGCCTTTTTTCCATATAAAATATTTCAATGGCTCTAAATTGCTGTTCATAAAATTTAGTGCCATTGATCTACTATTATTTTTTTCTCATTATTTTGAATTAGATTTTATTTTTATATTTTCGTTAAAGTTTTAGTAATTTTCTTGTGTTTTGGTCATTTTTTTATTTAGTTTGTTTATTTAGTTTTAGTTATTTTATAATTATTTAAACTTTATTTATAAGAAATGTTGCCTTGGCAAAAAGCTGAAATAATATAAGTAAGGTTTTATTTTATTTTTTTTATTTTTTTTAATTTCAGTTAATGTTTGTTTTATTGAAAAATTATAGTTTTAGTTTTAGTTAACAATAATATACCCTGATATGTATATAAAAAATTTAAATGACAATCTGTTACATCATGTAAAGTATCAATGGTCAAGAAGTGAGGAAATGCTAAAGTAGAATTTTTCTTCTATAATATGTTATCGTCAGTGTACAAAGGCATTCAGTTCTATGCTGTGCCAGAGCTATGGAGCGTAAACTGCAGAAGTCAGTGCATGACATGCTTGGGAAATCCATAAGCGCGTGAAGGGACCTATGTGCTCTTGAGTGAGGAAATCTCTTGACTGTTGTAAAAGCTGAAAATTAGGACACGGCAAGCACGTGTTGCTGTTGGCTGCCGGTCAGATTTCTGCGCCTACGTGTAATGTGATCCAAGTTGTGATCCAAGCAGATGAGGGACGTGCCACTGCATTGACAGTACATTTATGATGATTTGAAGTCAGTGACAGATGCTTGTGCATGTGCACAGATCCCCCGGCGTTTGAAACTTTTGGTTGAGGGGTCTGTTCTCGTATTACCCATCTACATACTTGTCAAAAGTTTGGAAACATTATGATGCTCACCAAGACTGCATTTATTTGATTAAAAATACAGTAAAATTGTGAAATATTATTACAATTTCAAATAACTATTTTAATAGATTTTAAAACATAATTTATTCCTGTGATCAAAGCTGAATTTTCAGCATCATTACTCCAGTCTTCAGTGTCACATGATCCTTCAGAAATCATTCTAATATGCTGATTTGCTGCTC